GGCCGCTTTTCTTCACACAGCCCTCATTAAATAGTGTAAGCCACTCCCCCCAGGCTCTCTTATTTCTGATTTATTCTCATAAATCAGTTTTGTCCATATATTACCTCCACAAACAATTGATGTACAAAAACAAATAATTTTTACAACTTAATTCTTTTATACAGATTCATTGACTTATTCAATTACACCAAACTTTTAAACATAAAAAAAAAAATAATAATAATCTGACAAACATTTAGCGAGTCACGTGTTGGTGACGTCAATTCCGCATTCCAACAACTCTGGCGTTTTAACCGCTTACTGAGCGTTGCCTCGGGTTTGAAGCCAGCAAAGACGCCGCCAGACACACGTACCCCCACCCCACACACACGGCTAACCCCACTGAAATATTAAGTGTGCACCCTCAATACGCCAGCAGGTAACCAGGAACAGTTTGTGTGTTTTAAGTTAATGGAGCTACTGGGCTCAGCGCGAGTGTATTGGTCCTCACAAGCACAGTATAACAGGAATGTGTGGGTGGCACGCAAAGTTAGAGGTTATTTTAAGTGATGAGGTGGATTCATCACAGTCACAATAACCATGACATGAAATTTTCATATCCTACAACAGGGATGTTCTTCTGGCAAACGGGTAGATAAATAAGGATCTCACCGAAATTTGGTGGAAGCTGCATCTCGCTCGTTACATTCGCCATCGTCCCTCTAATTGTTTGCACCTGCACATTGGGTGCAGAAGCCTGTTAAAGGGCAGTATTTTCAGAGCCCCAAGACCATAAAATTCTGAGACGCTGATCGGCCAATAAATTATTAAATTGACCTAGCAATAGTACATGATTGGCAGATTTTATGCACATGTGGGGCAGTCTGATCAGCGCCCCAAGACAGAGACGGTAGGAGTCCACAAATGAATGATAGTAGGTTGGGAAATGTAGTTGATATAATTTGTTTTGCTTATAGGTACACACTCTAGAGAGTAAAACTGAAATTTATGAGTTAATTTGTAAAAATATATTTTACGTTTCTCTCTTCTTATCAGGGAGGGCGGTGCCCCAGCGGCCCCTATGGGCCGGCCACCACTGCTCCACAGGTAACCTTTGAGCATGTGGAAGATTTGACATTAACATGAACAAACTGAATTCGATCAGATAGATAAGATTTAAACCAGTCTAGTGCTGTTCCTTTAATTCCAACAAAATATTTAAGTCTTTCTAAAAGAATATTATGGTCACCTTGCTCAAATGCAACCCTGAGATCCAACAGCTCCCGACTGGTTCCGA